GTTGTATACGATACTTATCTTAGTTGTCCAGGCTACTTCTCTCAGTTACGAATGTTGTATTGGGATGTTCCCAATACAACATTCAGAAAACATTTGATTTAACAAAGTCTTTAGAGAACGAGAACGCCCTACCTGTTAAAATACAACATTCTAGTAACTAAGAAAAACAAAACACTGCTAAAAACATTACTGGACCTTGTAGATATTATCATATAGCATAACAAGCATAACAAACAAGCTACTTTGTGTTATCTGTACTACATCACTTTATATTTTATAAATATGTTTTGCATGTAAAATCCCAAAGTGTCCTGTAAATTAACTGTAGCTAAATAAATAAACAAACGTAGCTGTATGAAAAATGTATAAAAGTGTTACTCTGGCAAATATGTTGCATTAGTAACTGGCAAAAAGAAATACCTTAAAAGTATTTTCCTTTCCGTGAGCCAATACTTTAAGTTAATAAACTGTATTGGGAACAAAATCAGCGGTTGATTTATAAGGTGTTTTAAGGCGTCTGCTGTCACCATCCACTTGAACCTTATTGTCTCAATGCAGTCTGTCAGAATGGGTGCAGTACCTTTAAAATACCTCTTGGTGGGTGTCTCCAGTCGAATATCTCAGCAGCCTGAATCTATTTTTTATTTTTTTTGGCTCTTCCACCAATCAAAGGAGTTTTATAATGAAACATAATTACTGCTGAACGGAAATCACTGCCTTACAATAGACATGATTTAGCATTCAGAACGATTGTATGAATGTTTAGGATCCAAAGATGCGACTGAATCTGATAATCTACTTTTTTTTTTGGTCAAAATCTAAATCTTTGCAGTGAAATATGTCTTTAGATGCTGCAATGTAGTGCAACTATGTAAATGTATTCTGTCTTGCTTTGATTTGATTGACAGGTATCCCCCAAATCCTCCAACAAGGAGAATCCAGAGGGTTATTATACAGGGTGCAGCGAGCAGTTGAGGAGTAATTTTACCCCCAGGAGTGGAAGGACCGTGCAATTTACATGTCCGTCCGCCTTGCTTATTGCACGCTCAGTAGCCAATGGGGCCTCATCTGTGGGCTTTTGGAGATTTGAGATCTTATTGTCGTTTGCTTTCATACGCCATCTGACTATATCTGACACTTCCAAGGCCGAGTGTTGCATGTGTTTATCTGCTCAAAACACATAAACAAGGTTATAGTGTTTTTCGTAATTTGGTGGAAAAATGTATTTTACGTTGCATTCTGGCCACACCAAAACCTTAAAAAATCACCTCCTCCCTTTTCATTTCCCCCCCCAATGTTTTCCCTTTTTCCTCTTGTCCTTGGGAATTCAATAATGGAATAGTGTTGCTGGAAACCTTTCCTCTATGTATTCATGTAACAAGGCTCGGCTAGTGGGTGTTATTGTATGTCCTTGAAATGATGTAGATGCTATCAGTTTCACTCCTGGCTGTGAATGTTGAACATGTGAATGAGGCAGGAGGGGGAAAAAAAAAAAAAAAAAAGATGGTTCAGTGTGATTGTAAGTGAAAGTTGCAGCAGGTGTGGCGACGACTGGAGTTGTGAGAAATGTCGAGAGCCTAAAATGAGCCTTTTTTCATGGCCTTTTTTTGTGCCTTTTCTATTGTTACCAAGGATGGGGTGGTCGATGGAATATGGAGATGGACACTAGCAAATCTGTGCATAAGAAAACCAAGGGAAGGCAAAATAATACTGGCATTAAGTCAAATGAAACCGTATCAGCAAGTATTAATAACTGCTGCAATTTTTTCTTATTTTCTGCCTTTGTAAAATTCAATTTTGACCTCTTTTAACAGCAAATGATTATTGCCTGGATGTATATTTCCATCATTTTTCCTTTTTCTGGCAGCAAATTATAGTTAGAATTCCTGTGCAGTGAGAAAACAAATCTTTTGGGCCCAAAGTCATATGACAAACATGATAAATGGACATAATTCCCCTTTTCTTGTGCTTATATTTTTTCCCCGTCTGACCCAAACAAGTCTGAGAGCCACCCCTTGACCTCCAGGCCCCTCCTCCACAGGATCCAACAGTGAATCATGTATTACATTATGCATTAACCCACCATTGACCTCTGTATGCTAAACTCGATTGCCATATTATCTCCACTGTAATGTTCTACTCTTAGTTATCTTCCTAAGACTGAATCAGATTTTGTGTCCCACTTTACCCTCAGGCATAAAAAACGGAGGAAAAAAAAAAAAAAAAGAATGACTGCTGGGTAGCATGAAGGGATGTGGGGGAGGCTGCTTGTCTCATCTAAATCACCAAAGGTAGGGAGATGCTGCATCATTAAAGAGGCCAGAACATGTTTGTTTCTCTGCTGTTGAAACAGAAAGTTTCAGATTGGGGTGTAAAACACATCACACTGTTATTTTCCCATTAGAAAGAGTGAATTCTTTCAAATTAAGTTCTTAAAAAAATGCCACTCCTGACACCTGGCACTTTGAACGTCCCTAATTATCCCGACCGGCTCGAGCAATTGTTATTGTTGGTGATCAATACGCTTGACCGATGCGCCTGCTTTACGGCTCTCACACCAAGAATAATGATAATCCCGCCGTAGTGTTTTGAAGTCAAAATAATACTAATGCTCCTAATGATGAAGCATGCTCAGAAATCCCTCCCCGTCATCCCATTGTCTCCCGTGGCGGAGAAGCTGGCCCCCGCGGCCCCATGGGAAATCTGTAATGTATTCAGCCAGGCCTTGGGAGTAAAATGAAAACAAATGTGGTGTAATAAAGGAGAGAAGATGAAGCGATTCTGTGATGATGCTCTCTACCAGCCTTATAAATCAAAATAAAAGTGGAGCAGGTCATATGTGCCCCCCTACCCTCACTGGATACACACACATACATATATATACATATACACACACACATCTATATAAATGAATGCCTACACAGTATATACGAAACAAGAAGAAAATAGAAAGTGCAAGGAACATATTGTAACATATGGTACCTTAAATCAAACACTGCTTTATGTTGCTGTTTGTGTGTTTGCATTACATCAGGTTTTTTGTTTTAAATGCATAAAATCGTACTTATTCTCTGACTTGACATGAAAACTGTGCCTGGTTATTGTCAGATTGTTGACATTTTGGTCTCAAACTTCACGCCGTCCTGTCCTGACTCTCCAAAATGTCAGCAGCACCAAAAGCAGATGGTTTTTTTTTTTTACCTCATAAACCTTCTTAACAAAGCAGCGTCTACTCATGAGCCATTATTTCGTGTCATTTGTCATGCACAAAGTGATATTTCGTGCGTGCACATGTGTTCTCCCGTCCTGTGTTTGAATTATTTTTAGCCGCCTCGAGAGGTTAAAAAAAAAAAACTATCTGGTAATTCACAAGAAAAGCAAAAGGATTAAAAAGGAGCATCTGGGGAGAAAAAAAAAAAGGATAATAATTTTGCGCAGTATAAAGGTTTCGTCTGCTTTCCTATCCTGTTAATCGTTTCGTGACCCCTCGAATTGATCTTGCAATCAACCCGCCGTTTGGAAACCACTATTACTGTAATTAAACATGACTGAGGCCGACTGTAGTGGTAGTACCGCCCAGCATCTGTAGGGGCTGCTGTGGTGTCGGTGGATTTGCGTGAAGCCGGTGGGCCGCCTGAACAGAGCGACTGTGAGGTTTGATGATGGTACAGTAGCAAGAAGCTCTCATTAGACCGAAAATCCAAAAGATTCAAATGTGGCGGGGGGGAAAAAAAAAAAGAACCCAAACAGCTGGTTATCTTGGCCCAGATTTTAAGCAGGTGATTGAAGACTCGAAGATTCATTGACAGGGCAATTAGGGTTGATTTGAAAATTGTCGCCCTCGAATACCCAGTGAGTTTTAAGGTCAATAACAAGAGAGGATTTTTTCTTTATTTATTACCATTTATTTGGGACACTTTCTGCTCTAGCGCACCAGAACCTCCTTCAGACCCCTTTCAAACCCTGCAAACTTTGAAGACGGATTTGAGGACTTTCTCCTGACAAGTTGGCTGCTTATTACGTGGATAAAGAATAATAAACAGAGGGTACGATAAATAATTGATGCCTAATAAGTTGAAGGAGAGTACACCAGGGTTCCGTTTTTTGTTTTTTTTTCTTATATTTTTCAGGCCAAGAATAGAGAAAGCCTGCCCGAGTTGTTTATTTCCTCCCTCCTTTCTTTCTTTTCATGTCCTTCTCATTTTACGAGCCATGAGTCAACACAGCACACGTAAATGATATTTTGACACAGAGATCCATGAATAATGTATTTGAATTTACTTTTATGCCAGAGTTAGACCCCTCTCAGCACCCTCTCTCTCTCTCTCTCTCCCCACCTTACCTATTTTTTTTTATTTCCACCCCCTTTTTCTCCCCTCCTCTCAGTCCCTACTCCCCCATTTTCCTCTTCATCCTACCCTCCTCCTCCTCCTTATCCCCCCTCTTTCTCTCTTCACTATTCATCCTCATCAGAGCTCAACCTTATTTCTTCTCTCCAGGACCCTCCCCTCCTTTTTTCTTCCCCCCTTTCTGCCTCTGCTCTCTCTCTCTCCCTCTCTTTCCTCCTACACCTCCATCAGACAGCAGACAGAAAACAGTACGGGATCATTTTAGAGCTGAAGATCGACCACATCAGTGTTTCTTATCCAGGGCCCAGCGCAGTTGGCTGCTCACTGATACATTTTTATAATCATGAGCTCAGGAATTGGGACAGACACAGGTGAGAGATTTTTTTGCAAAAGTTACTGAGTAAAAAAAAAAAGAAGAAAAAAGCAAAGAAAAAGATTGACTTACAGGCTTACTTACTGATTTACCACAGCCCAGTGAGCTGAAATATGGGTAAATAAAGTAAAAAGAAGATGAAGAACTGTGAAGGAAGAATAGTTCGACCTAGACTTTAAGGACATTTCTTAACTGCTTCAAAAAAAAGGTTCTTTACATACGTCGCTTTGCACGACATAATAAAGGCCTGTAAGGTCAGGAAAGGCCCCAACAGCGAGCATCGATCGGGTGTCTGAATTAATCATCCATAACTTGATCCGTTCCGATAAAGTCATCAGCGGCCCGGCGTACTGCGTGATCAGCAGCCATCATTCTCTCCCCCGCCACGTCGCTGATGTGTAGCCCCAGGCCCGCCGAACCGCCAGACACCGCCGTGTTTTAAAAGCAAATTAAAAACATTTATTCTGCCGCTAAATAGCTCGCTTGTAGTCGCTGCAAACAGAAAATAGAAGGGCGGGAGGGGGGAAGTACTGCTGAGGTTCAGGTGTGCTCTGACCGTCTCATTATCGTCTCCATCATTTTTCTGTTTCAGCTTCCCCACGTACACATTATCAGTATCATCAACCCTCGAAGCTAAAGTCCATGTACAGTCACCTCCCAAGACCATGTTTTTTTTGTAAATTGTACCAGAACCCTCTTTAAAAAAACAAAATATCCTGATTTCAGTGACTGTCCAGGTAAAAGAAACACATAACAAGATGTGCAAATAATCGAATAAGTGACAGATTCAACAGCTACCGCAAAAATATCTCCGTGCAGAAGCAACTTCAGATAAAATCTTATCACAAGCTGGAGGCTGAATGTATATCGATTCGGAAGTCTTTGACATTAAAAAGTTTGGGAACCCCCCCACCTCCCCAATGATCTACACCATAATCCAGATGGTGATACCAGTCGCCGGTTGCAAGCTGTAATCTACTTATTTTACACTATTGAGTAATACAGTCCTCATCCCCCCCGGCGTGAAAATCCCTCTGCTGAGAAGTGGCATCGAAGGAAGCCGGGATGAATAATCTGCATCATCCTTCCTCTTCGTCCACAGAGTGGTTCTTCATTCATAATTTACCAGCGGCACCACCCCATTACATCTGATGAAAGCCACTGACCTGAAAATACCGAGGAGAACCAGCTCCTTCAAGTGCGGCCATGTTTGCATCCGTCCTGTGCGAGCTCACCAGCAAACATCAGTGAATGAGTCCAATGTCAACACAGAGATCTGATGTCCTCTCTTGCTCATGCAAATGGGAACACGACACCGACCGGCCTTCCACGGAGGTATCTTCTATTTGACTGAAGCACTGTAACACCACCACAAACGTAATACACGTTTATAGATCCTATTATATGAGTACAAAGAGACTGGGCCTGATACGTAGCAGCAAGATGCACGCTGATCAAATGTTTTGATAATTCGGCAAATTGCAGGGGCGTCTTGTAAGTGTTAAAACATCAAAGAGTGCTTTCAAAAGGGTGTTTTTGACATCAACGTGCATTCCAGTGCGTACAGTACAGAAGGCATGTGTCCACGCCTTATTGGAAAGTCAAAAGTATTAAATGCGTTTCTCCACGGCTCTTTTTTTTTTTTTTTTCTCCCACTGCTGTGACCCAGAAACTGCATTTTCCCAGTGGTATTTGAAAAGTGCAAAGACACACAATGTGCAGTTACATTTATTTAAATTGCGACGTGTGCTTGTGTGTGTGTGTGTGTGTGTGTGTGTGTGGCTTCAATTATGGTACGTTTCGTTCTGGCCATACATTTTTCCTGAGCTCAAGCCTCTTTTAGAAGGCTTGCTTTTGTTCTTCAGTGTGATTGGCTTGTGACAAACAATGGGGAAAAGCTTAGCCCACAATGACATATACACAGTAAGTTATTGCATCCTTTTCCCACAATGCATTCAAAACATAATTTAAATGGTGAGTTATTTAAAAAAAAAAAAGTGAATGTGTGATTTTTTGGGGGAGGATAGAACCTTAAAAACTTGTTATAAATAATAGTTACACAACCAGGTTTCATGTTTTCCCTCCTCTTTCTCGTAAAGCGTTTTCACATTAAGTATATAGTTGTTTAATCGCAGCTAAATGCATTAGTCACCGTGTTGGCCCAAGGCGCTCGGAGCTGCGTTCACAGTGCATCATTTGCTGCGATATCTAAAGCTACCATATCCCTTTAAGCTAGTTTCAATGACTGCATCTCTTGTTGCAGCTAAGTGAATGTTTAACAGACTTTCTAGTTCCCTCTGCAGTTTTTCATATCAAGAGATAAGCACAGTTGAAAAACCTCCAACCCCCCCCCACCACCACCACCACCAATGACAAGTCAACAAAAAGAGGAAGTGTTGTAAGGACGTCCCATCCTGTATCAGAATGCCAATCAGCATATATTGTGAACCTTAGTGTAACTTCAGCTCACCACATGAGTCATCTGGGATTATGAGTCATGTTCTAGCTCAGTACAACAAGCTTTACCACACACCTACAGACAGGGAAACTTCTCACAAAAGTTAACGCCACAGTGTGCTTGAGACTGTTGACGACACTAAAACTGGGACAATTGCTTCTTCTTCTTCTTCTTTTTATTTTTTTTTAGTGCAGCCCAAATTCTCTAAAAGATGAATTAGATCCTGTTTAACCTGATTGAAGAAGCTGAACAATCTCCTCGGCTGTGGGGAAATGGGGATGTTGCCTCTGACCTTTTAAACTTTGCAGCTTAGATGTTTAGATAAATCTCTGACTAATAGTGATCAAGCTTTTTAGATAGACAGTAATAGAAATAGAGCGTATAACCCAAATGTATTCACGTTTAATTTTAGTCATACGTTGCATATAAATGCATCGGATCCAACATCCTTACATGTGAAGTCACTCAGCGCCACTCAAACCTAAACATGCAGGAACACAGGCCCTCGACTCAGGCTTAATCAAGTAAACTTCATCTGAATTTGCAACCTCTCTTTGAAATGGATGCATCTGTGCCATTATAGGGAAATAATTGTGGCCACTTTCATCCCGCGCGCAATTAGTATCTCTTCTGTGAAGTCGTCAGTCACTTAAAGGACAAGGGCAGACAGAACCTTTGTCACTTTAATCATTCCTCTGTCTCTTTTTTTTCCTTCTTCCCCCCTCCACACTGGAATCGAATGAGTTCCCACAGTTGAATGTCAACAACTCAGCGCGTCCTTCAGGCCTATTTCACATCATTAGCGCTCTTCTTTGAGTTGATATTGTGACACTATCAACCTGTGATGTATGTTGGGGCTGTTAGGAGCAGCGTGGACAATGTTTTGTGTTATTTCCAACACAGATTCTGCCTGAGACATCGCTTGCGCTGCAACAGTAAATGCTTTAAGAGCATTGTGTTGTGCAGAATTACAGTACATAGAATCAGAATTAGTGAGGCTATAAATGTGTGCAGAATGTAATTATAGTGAATATGGACAACACAACAACTAGAAAGATGCTCTGAGTAACGGCTAATGAAGTGATGAACAATGATTTGTTTATCACTGACACTGGCTAGAAAAGAAAGGTAGCAACCTGTTAGCACAGAGTGTTGTATTTACAGAACAGTGCAGAAATATTGACGGTTGCAGTTCAGCGTTTAAAATATGGAGAAATCCTAAATCACCGCATCATGTACAGAGTAGCTTCAATTGGGCTACATAAAAATAAATCAATGAATTAGCTCCTCCTGGACCAGCAGCAACATTAAATGCTGCTTTCAAATGAAGGCAGCAGCAACAGTAGGACAATAATAGAATATTCTGAAAGTAAAAAGTGCTTTTGCTTTTCTAAACAGTATGCTGATCACACACTGGTGCTGGGCTGCAAGGTGGAAAAGTGGTTAGCACTGTTGCCTCGCAGCAAGAAGGTCGCCGGTTCGCATCCCGGTGAGGACACCCGGGATCTTTCTGCGTGGAGTTTGCATGTTCTCCCCGTGCAGCGTGAGTTCTTCCTCCCACACAGTACAACAACATGTTGAGGTTAACTGGTGATTTTAATTGTCCGTAGGTGTGAATGTGGGTGTGCTTGGTTGTCTGTAGCCCTGTGATGGACTGGTGTCCTGTCCCTCGTGACCGTAGTGAGGATTAAGGGGTGTATAGATATTGGATGGATGAACAATTTGGTAAATTTTAATTTCAGTATTTTTACATGTAAAAGTGTATTTTTATATTCACATGTTGCTGAAAATCAAAACCCAGCATGGAAAATGTTAGTAAATTCTATTTTTTTTTCAACTTGAATGAGCATTATTGTTGTTTAAACACATGGCATCTCTACAACAGAGTCAAACAACCAAGCACAACTATATTGGAGATGACAATGTGCAGATCAAGAGTGGAGTCTTAGACTAGAAATCCCAAGTCGGTGATGAACCCTGCTTCTGCATTGCACATGGAGTTATTGAGGGTGTCAGTGCTGAAGTTGGTGGACATTTTGGGGCACGTTGTCACACACATCTGTCCAGAGCTGTCTGGAACAATTTCTCAGACGACAAACGGTGGAGTCGTGGAATTAAAGCGTCTGATTATGGCTCTAAATGACATCTCCTGTCATCTGTGGCGCCATGTGATTTGAATAAAGCTGCATTTTAAGGTCACCTTTTATAGTCGCTGGTCAAAGGAGTGTGTGTTTACTGCTCGTGCTATCTGACTGCTGTCCTTTAAAACCACGCCTGACAATAATGGGGATTAACGCAACGAGAATTTGTCAGCAGCAGTTAAACAGCTCACAAAGTTTTTGTGCACAGTTGGAACAACAACTGTGGAACATCGTTTCTAACAATAGCAGTGACGTTATTAGCCTTTACACCGAGTCAGAAAGGACGACCATATTTTCACACATTTCTACCACCATTCCCTGACTTTGTTTCGCTATCAGTCACAGACAACAGCGACTTTTTGTCTCCTTGCAAAGAAGTTAATCTTTGATGAACACAGTCAGCCTTTGTAGCGCTGCAGCGAAACGGCCTGAACCACAGATACAGTTTGACTCCCCACCCCACCCCCCCTACCCCGCACACCTCCTAATAAAACTGATTTGCTCTGGCATGTATTGTTTTGAAAAATAAATCAGTCGACTCTTTCCACTTCATGCACTCGTGACATCATTTGTTTCCCCTCTTAACTCAATTATTGTCACTTAGTTCATCTGAAGGCCAACAATGACCTGTAGCTGCAGTACACAGGGCCCCTTCCTCTTCTTCTTCTTCTTCTCTGCAGCATGACGGAAAGGAGCAGGAAACGGTTAACGCCTTGAGGAGCCTGTAAGTTTGTCTAAGTTAAATACAAGAGAGAATATTATCCGCCTTATTTTTCTGTCACCCAATCCTCTTTTGCCCGCCTCGAAAATAAGCTTTAAGGTAATTGTGTCATTGTGTCATAAGGCACAGGAAAAATGGTAATCCATTAAATTGTGTTCTCTGTTCTCTGTTGCTTTTGTAGTACAGAGCGGCATCACAGGATTTTGGAAAGGTGAATTATAAATAATTACCTTTGATCCAGAAAGCCTGACGAGTAATAACATTTAATGCTATAGCTGATCAATGAAACTCCGGCTTCAGGTTTTTTTTTTTTTTTATGTCTGAAAAATCTTTTTTGTTGTTTTTTTTTTTCCCAGAAGGTGCCAGCTAGTTTAATGTTTATCGTGATTTGCTGTGTTGCTGCGGTGTTTGTTCACTTTAGTTTGACCTTTAACCTTCGCCGCCCGACAAGTTCATCGGCAACCGAAAGTACTGCAGTTCGGATGCAAACCATTTAATGCTATAGGCGATAAATAATTCAGCCTTAAACACGAGAGGGACCACATGTTATTGAACGCACTTATTCGAAAAGGTCTTTGTTGTGTCAATTAGTTGATTAAGTATCATCTACTCGGCCTGTCGCAGTCGGGGGAACCAGATCTGTTTTTAAACGGATTCATATTACAGGTGCAGTGGGGAGCAGGAGAAAGGGGACATTTTCAATTACATGTCAGCGTATGTGACTGACAGTGAGCCACCATTTGATCAGGCTTTTACTTTAATTGCTTGCATTTCATTAAGTATAATCATTTATGGTGGAATTTAATCAGCGAGGATTCAGCTACGTACCGCTTGGACTGGGAAAAGAAAAACAGACAGCAGAATTTGCTCCATTTAAAGTATGAGAGGCTTCAGACGGCCTCATCATCAGGCTTAATTTAACTGTAAA